ATTTGCGCTTGGATTCGATTCGATTCGTTCCGCGGATTCGATTCGCTCGGCGCCCTGCCAGCCCCAGAAAGGTCACCCCCAAACTCCGGTATGTTTTCAGAGGTTTATCCTCTTTAGGTCATCTTGCCAGGAGTTTCCGATGTTTAGGGGAAAAGCCGAGCTGAATCTGAGGGGAGTTGGTACCCTTGTTGTGCTGCTGTCTTTGGATTTGTTGGGGGGGGAGTTTTTTTTTTGAGGAAGGAACATCATCGATCCCTTGTTAATAGAAGTGTGTGTTTTTTTTCTGAAAACAAAATAAGGAAGACTCACTTCCTCAGTTTGACGTCAACTTATTGAGGTTGGACCAATAAGAAGTTATAAAGTAGAAAGTTACTCTGATTTTGCCAATCCACCCGTTTAGAAGTGAGACTCTAAGGTCCGCCTCCAAACCACGGCCAAGAAGCAGGGTATGGCTGCTTCAGAGTGCTGTGGGTGGGACTAAATTATAACGGTTATGTGTGCTCAGAACACACTCAAAAGAGCAGACATCTCGTGAGGGACCTCTTTCAGGCTGAGAAGGTGCCAAAGTAGATATATGTCGAAGTAGGCTGAGAAGGGTACCCGTTAACCAAGGTTAGAAAGGGTACCTTCAAAACCACACCCGCCCGTGGATGGAGAAGAAAGGGAGCCGACGTTTGCCTCAATCTAAGGTGGCTTCTACCCCCCCTCCCCCTCCCCAGCAGGATATTGTGGCATGAGTTGATTATATATCCCACTTGACCCGTGAGGGTGGTTCAGTAGTCGAATCCAAACTTGGTGGCTCCCAGCCATCCCCCAAGCTTGATAGCTTTTTGGTGTTGGTAGTTTCCGTTTAACCCACTAAAAGGTAAACTTTTGGCAAGGCATCTGAAAACGGGCAGCCCAGCAAAGGTTCGCAAAAGGTCCCCTGGTGGTCGTCAACATCACCTTTCGGTTGCCCACTTGAAATGAGCTTCCTTTGGGGGTGAGGTCTGAGGAGAATATGGGGGAACCCTGAAAGTATGGGGGAACCCTGAAACCATCTCAGACTCAATCGGGTAGGCGAAACCATCTGAGGTGTCGGTTTAAAGGAAGAAGAAACGATCAAAACCATTTGAGGTTGGTTTGAAGGAGCAAGAAAGGCTCGAAACCATCTGACATAACTTTAAAGGAACAACAAAAAGGAGCCACCCACTAGGGGAAGAGGGGGAAACCCCTGACGTGAGACATCAGAGAAGCACGACGCCAGTTGGCTGCAGGGAGGCACCATCACCTCCCCCGACCCATCGCGCTCAGTTCACCCGGGTGCGGGGGGTGCGCATCGCGGAGCTGAGCGCCATCCCCTCGGAGCTGGAAATCCTGGTGGAGCCCCCCGCGGTGTTCCAGGCAGAGTTTCCAGCCGCCTCCCTTGATCGCCTTAGTGGAATTGGGGCAGGGCGGGTGACCCCTGGAAGTCCATTTATAGTTCAGTCTTCCCTTTTCATGGGGAAGCCCAGGTTTTCTGGAATCGGGGGCCGGGGGGATTTTCCCTTTTCATGGGGAAGCCCAGGGTTTCTGGAATCGGGGACCCTCTTTTCCCCAGGCCCGGGGGATGAAGTAACTTGGCGAGTGAGAAATGGAGTGCACCATCCAACTGGTGGTTTAAACCTTGGGGACCAAGGCCTGGGTTCATTCCCTAGAACCCGTCCCATTATTAGGGGGGTGTTCCCTCCAAAAGTGGTCTGAACCCAACCACTAAAAGGGGACACCCCCCCCCAAAAAAAATCAACCAGGGGTTTAACTGCATCCGGGGTGAACATTACTGAGCACCAGCAAGGTTACTCCCATTTGCGTTTCAACGACATTCCCCTGATGAGTTTAAAGGGAATCTAGCATGACTGGAAGTATGAACATGCGTTTTCAGGGGGCGAAAACTGCAAATGTATGGCAATGTTGGATGGAGCAGGGGGACTCACTCCCTGAGTTTCGTCTTGGATTTCGGTGGTAAATGGAAAGTTCTGACCATTTTATTCTCAGGAAGCGAGGGGAGGAGCGTACCAGTGGCGTAGCCTTTTACCATTTGTCTCAAAAACGGCACCTCACAGAGAGTTGGTCCCTTCAACTTCCCCTTGGTACTCTCCCACAGGTGTTCGTCTATTTTGCAGGCAAAAATCAAGCGATACCCTAAAAGAAAATGGTTGCAACATAGATGTTAAGTTTCCATCACACCAGCCGTACCCCCTGCAAAAGGGACCATTCCCCGTACAGGCTCGCTTTGTGGATAAAGGGGGGGGGACTTTTGTCGCAATTGGGAATTCAGATCAGACAGAGAATGTGTGCGCGTTTCCCGCGTTGGCCGTGAGTGGAGCTTCCCTTTTCTGGTTGGCCGGTAGCTTTCAGCCCGTGAGTGAAGCTGAGAAATTGGAAACGGAGATGTGCGGCCACCTTTACCTCCAACTGCTCTTGCCGCTTTAAGACAAGAAAAGAAGTTGGACCTTTCAAGTGTCAAAGCATCACTGTTTCACAATTGCGGTTGCCCCTATGTTCAAAATCAATGTTGAACCCTTTAACAAGTGTCACATCAAACAATGTATTTCAGGACGCCCTTCATTGTCCAGAATCTCACCTGCCCACAGCCAACCTTTTGACATGTTGGTTTCCCCTTTTTGGTACATTGTTTTAGTCATGGCCCCAAAAGGCTGAATTTTTATTTGTTGCATGTTGCTTGGATGTTGGAACTTTAACTTTTTGCCAACTAATGGGTTTTCCATTAAACCACTAAAGTTAAACTTTTGCAGGGAAGAAGAAAGCAACCGAGTTTTATTTGTGAGTCAATTGACTTGCCGGTTTTCAGCTGGAAATCAGTTGGAATGACCCCCTATAAACACCATCCCCTATCGTTTGTTTCCTTATTTGGGATTCCCCAGGACCGGCTCATTCCCAACACCCAGAAACTCGTTGTCATCCCCTACCTATTTTGCTCCTCGATGTTCACGGTTTTTGTTTTCGATGTTTTGTGTTGCTTCTGAATTTTCAATTTTCCTTCGTAAAGTCAGCATCAAACATCACACAAGAAAAGGGGCAACTGAGGCAAACTGAGATCCTTTCAAAAAAAAAGCGAGGTGAAGAGCTGCGCCAAGTTCCATGGGGTCCTGCGCCTTGGACAGTTCATCCATTTGCCTTGGTGTGCAATTTTTAGGGGAAAAGTTGCGGTGTTCCCTACTAAACACCCAACAAAAGGAGGTGCCCTCACAAAACGGCAGATCCGTTTGGTGGCGAGCTAAGATGAAGATAAACCGAGCGTTTGGGATTTGTTGTCATTTGCCCAGAGGTGAGTTTACCAACTCAGATAGAATTTGATTCACCAACGCAGCTTAGTGTGGAGTTTCCTTTTGGCGGGGCATGGTCCTCCCGGGTTTGTTTTGGCGTAGGAGCCAAGCGAGTGGTGTCGTACAATGACATGACACCCACCTTAGTGGTTCTTAGTTGCTTTGTTGAGTGGCAGAGGTTGTGTGATACGTATGTTTCCGAAACAAGTGCTTAGACCCGAAGGGTTGCTAAACTATGAGAATAGGACATGGAAATCGCACAAAAGGCCCTGCTTCCTCGAGCTTGGAACCCCCTTTGAGCGATCGAGTGTCCAAGTGGCCCACCTTCTTGCCGGGAATGCGTTGAGTGTCGAGGTATGTTTTTTTGTTCGGCCAACTTACCACCCAATGAATGAGAGCAGGGAGAGGGGCCATGGCATTTCGCTGACTTTGAGAAAGCCTGGCACCATTCTAGCTACAAGGCATGCATGCTGTTCAAGTGAGGCTTTGTGGGGCCACAGCAGCTTCATCCTCCCCTTAGCACCGACTCCAAGTGTGTCCTTGATGCGACCTTCTGCCTCTTGTATGGCCTGGAAAAACAAGCTCACCATAGTGTAGGTCCTTTGCAAGAAGGATGCGTTATTCAAGGCGTTGGAAGTTTTGTAGAATTTGCAAATCCATTGTTTACGGCCTACCCTGCTACTTGCTACGTTCCCTCCACCCTGGCATGAGCGGCACGTCCAGCCGAGGAGCGTAGTCTTGGAATCCGTTGCGTCGCCCTTGAGCTACCTGTAGCGGGTTCATCTCAGTTAAAGAGGCTTGGGCAAAGCTGGTTTTAGACCGCCTCCATTTGAAGGAGGTACCAAAAGGATGTTGTTCTTTGGGCATGTGAGGGGCAGGCAAATTGATGTGTCGGGCAAATGAACAAGGGGTATGTTGAGCATGTTTGCCCAATCCTGCAGTTAGACGCCGGAAGGTTTAGCGATATGTCGGGCAAGCTGACATTGGGGCACCTGGCAGCGACGAGCGCGAAAGGCGGCACCAGCGCGCGCGACGGAGAAAGCCTCGGGGCTCCTCGAAGCGCTGGAGGTTGTTTTGTTTTTGGCTTCTCCTCCGCAAAATGGCTGTCTTATTTGACTCACTTGCAACCAAAGCGAATCGACCTGTTGATCTTATCTTACCTTTTGAAGTTGTCCCCTCGGCATAAATCGGAGTCATGCCAACAAGAGGGGCAATCTGTTTCTGGAGGCCCTCTGGGCAGCTGAGTCAAGCCATACTAAACCTGAAGAATCTGCACATGACGGGTGTGCCCTGAAGTTGGCGGCAGTTGTGGAGCTGCAAATTAGCCGGAGCCCAAATGGGTGCGTGTGAGTGTGTGGTTGTTGAGGCCCCGGTGTTTGGGTTGGTTTCAAGAGGAGCAAAAGGAAACCTCCATGATGGGTCCCGCTAGTTCGGCGCATACCGAGCCTGGGGCTCCAGAAGGAGATTCCTTGTTTCCACATGCCAACTAGACGTTTACTTCTAGGCATTCACGGGTGCAGAGCTATGAAGCTTTGGAGAAGCTTTGGAGGGTCAAGTTTGGAGAGGCTTCCCTCCATTTCTCTTTGTCACAAGTGGCGATGGGTTCACTGGACACCACCCAGTGAGTGGCAACCTTTGGATTTCAAATCCATTGACCCGCCACGGATCCACGGATCCACGGAGCGGCCATGGCAGGCAGCGCTACTCCCTCGACGGCGGCATCCACGCCAAAAAGCCGCCGGCCTCAGCCGGACACGTGGCTTGTGGTGAACGCGCGTAGAAAAACTGGACCAAGGGCTTGGTGGCAGGGGTGTCATTTTTTGAGGGTGCCCATGTTCAGGCCGTGTCAAAATAGGAAGCCACTTGTTTTTGGGGTTCCCATATGTTGAAACAAACCCTAACATGAAGTTGTCCAACTGATAATAAGAAAAGAAGAAAATATCTGGTGGAAGTGGGGGCCAAATGTGCACAGAGACATGCAGGGAGCGGACTTGCTGCAGCCCAGCAGTGCGATCTGCCTGCCTGAGCCTACATGTCGGTGTGGGTTAGAAGTGCATACCCAAGATGTACGGTGGATGGACGGAATCCGTTCGCACCACTTTGAAACCACAAAACACTATTGCTGGAATTTTCACGCATCAAACCCAGGGTTTTTGAGGTGGTTTGCACTCGCTGACACAGAACCTTAAACAATCTCACCGGGACGAAGGTGTTCCATGTTCCGACGTCTTTAAGCGATACCAAAACGAGCGCAAAATTGGGCTTGATTTTGTGTGGCTTTTCCTGTAGCTAGGGCCAACATTGCCCATTCTTCTTTCATCCCGGCGAAAGCATCAAGGCAGGTCGTAACTCCTTTGACTTGGTAAGTGATGGGGTCAATTAATACAGTCATGGTTGTTGTTGGGAAACATTTTACATTTTTGCTTATTGTGGTTTAGTGGGAAATCCAAATCCACTTAGCTGCTAAAAAATAATTGTTTGCTTCCCTTCCAACGTCAACCAAGAAGTGGTCCTATGAGTGGTCCTGTCGGCCCTCCAAAGAGGGGACCCCCACAAAAGGAACCCTAGCCCCTAGGCCTTATTCGTCACTAGCCCCTGTTGAAGGGCCCCTACTGGTCCCTTACCATGCTGCGGGACGAAACCCTGCGTTATTTTTAAATCATGGGAAGCCATTGCCTGTTCGTATTTGCAGGGGAATCATCATTCCAGGAATTATTCGGTGCAAGATTTCGTCCATCCACAGTAGGACATGGGCTGCAAGCAGGCCATCCCTGAAAAGTGATGCTCAGCGAAAGGGACAGATCCCCAGCTCAAAGTTGCGGCGGGGGGTGATCTACTGACATGTCTCGAGGGTAGAGCTTTTTCCAGTCATGGAATGGCCCATGCATGCGGCGTCTGGGGATCCCCGAAATGGTCAGTTTCCTGTTGGCTGCCCTTTAAATTCGGACCCTTAAAGCGGGAGGCCCATTTTGAGAAACATCCAAAGAGCCTCAGCTTCTGTGACTGAAACCCAAAATAAATCCCACCACCCCCACCCCCACTCCCCCCACCCATTTGGGCGTTTTGGCCAACATAGCGATTGTCCACGCCCACCTCAACCCCTGCTGAAAGCTCCACAAGCTCGCTGAGGTCGGTCCGTCTTCCGCGCCCAGACCCTCGGAGCCTTGGCGTTGCAGGCAAGGAGATACAGCCAGACACCTGGGCCCAAAAAACCGGGCCTTGGGCCCCTGAGTTGTTTCCGGTTGCTTGAGGTGGTTTTCCCGGTTGCTTGAGGTGGTTTTTTCCGGTTCTTTGAGGTGTTTTTTTCCAGTTCTTTGAGGTGTTTTCCCAGTTGCTCAAGCTGAGATGTGTTCCGTGTGTTGTTGGTTTTCCCTCATGTTGGGGACGAGTTTAGACTCAAGGTTCGAGTTCCTTGGCTTCATCTTTGGGAATCGGGGTCGGCGCGTCTGCCTTCTTGAACTCATCGATCGACGTGTCCAGTCGGCTTCGATGTTTTGGGGGAAGAGCCTTTTTAGAGGTGAACAACCTGTTCAGGCTTGGGCCAATCCATTCAGGAGGGTCGGGACCAAAAGAGGAAGGGTGTACATGTCTCAAGAAAGTCGTCTTCCAACAAGCGCCGTCTGTGTAAATAACTGGTGCAACCCACCGCAACCACGACATTGTTCAGGGGTTTCTCGGCTAACACTTGGGTTGCAGATTCCGGCCCAGATTCCGAGTCGTCAACCGCTCTTAGCATGTTTAGAAAGAACATGCGTAGCCACTGATGAACTGATTCTTAACAGGAATATGTTCAACCCCGCATTCATCAACCAGCAATGCTCCAACTCGACCGCTGCTGAGGCGACTCGCCTCGCTTGCCCCCGCCCCCACTTTTCCGCCTCGAGGTCTCTCCTCGCGTCTCTGCTAACAACCTCCTTGCGGCTTCCCTTTGTGGACGAAGCTGGTTCAAATTTCAAACAAGGCGTGCTTCACGATTCACAAGTATGGTTCGATCCCTACAATCGCTGGCTCCTCTTTGGCTTCCATTCTTCTATTCAATAGGGGTCCATTTTGAGACCCCCCCAAAAAAAAAGACTCAAAAAATCCCCCCCCCCCCCCCGGCATGATGCAGCCGGTGATTTCTGGCTTTCGGGAAAACCGGCCACACAGGGCCCCCTTTCCTTGGGGGCCGCTCAGAAATTGTCTCGCCAGGTGTTCCAAGCGCCGTGCCCTTCAGTGGTCAAAGTCACTGTGGAGGGCAAGCTGGACGCCTCTGTCAAGGTCCAGGCAGGGCTTCCTGGCAGGGCGGTTCCTGGCACGGGCGGTTGGCAGTGGGGACGACATGGGGGTTGACCAGGTCCTTGTGATACCGCGGGATGACTGTTGGGTGGGAAAAACTTTGATTTGTCACGTGGGAAAAGTTAACCTATGGACATTTGGGGGCCAGGAATAGTGATGAAGCCCCACCTGCGTGCAGGAGTACATGAAACATGTGTCCTTCCCGGAGCACGAGCTTTGCGAGCCTGGATTTGGGGCGCTGTTCTTACATGTTTCCTGCATGTCGGCCCAAGTATGAGAATTCCAAACCTTGAATATCTCACGTCTCACGGCGAATCTGGCCAAACAATCGGTTGCATGGAGCTCAGCGACGACCGGCTTTTGCGGCGCTGTGCGCAGGAGCTCTACCGCAACCATTGGCACAGTGATGAACGAACGGATCTCGGAAGTTTGTCAGGGACAAGGCGAGGTGAGTTTCAAGAGTTTGGATGTGGCAGGCCTCTTCCTTCTGCGCATTCGCAGATCCGTGCAGACCCAGGTTGACACCTCCAACATTGCGGACCTTCCCTGGCCAGAGCTGCTTTGTGACGAAGGGCAGCTGCGCAGCTTGGGTGTGACGCTGAGTGGTTTCTATGAGCAGCGTGTCAAGCAGATTCTGGCGCCCGGGGACTGCCTCGTTGCCACGATGGCTGGTGAGGGATATGAACTGCGGCAAGTCCAGTCCTGCGCGGCTGCCCTCACACGCTCGCAAGCATTGCCGAGATTCCTTATGCCTGGCGCGCGGGATGGTCCCAAGTTGGAAGTCATTTTGCGTCAGTAGCTGTGCTGGAGCCACACCAACCGCATCAGGACCCACATCAGCTTCAGGTCACTGTGGGCTTACTTGCCAAGAATTTCCCGTGGGGCAACACCGCACTGTCGTTGGGTAGCTCCATGTCGCTGATTGAGCACACGGCCTGAGGCCGTGTCGTTGGAGTTGCCCTCCGGGAAGCGGATCGGTCATACAAGGTGCTTAGTTTGCGAACATGCCAAGGTGGATGGCCCCTCCTTCCAGGGAGCCCGTTGTGGGCCCTGATTGTGAGGTGGTGGATCTTGTCATTGCCTTGCACGCCAGAGCCTTTCAGAAGCTGGTTTCGCCACCCGGCTGGTTCCAGCTTCTCCTTTGCCGACTACTTGCGCGTCTTCCTGAACGCAATTGGTGTTGACATTGTCTTCAAGAGCTTGAACGGAGACCCATTGCGGTCGTGCAGCGCTCTCAGTGGGAGCCTGTTGAGGACTTTCAGGGGGTCTGGCGATTTCAGAAGTTGGCCTACGCGAAGCTTCCTGGCAAGCGGCACGGCCCCAATATCTCAGACTCCCGCCAGCCCCGAGGGAATTTGCTGTTGACATGGACCTCTGGCCCATGGATGACTGCGATGCCAGCACATGTAGGCGATAACGGCGAAGACGAGATGCCATTTCGTGTGCAAAGCACGTTCTTGCACGTGAGTGCCCCATGTGTTGAGCGGAACCGAGTCAAGACATGGTGAAAGAGTAAAATCTGCCAGCTCTCTTAGTTTGAAGCTTGTACAGCAAGGACAACGCAGCCAAGTAGCCTCCCACGAAGGCTTTGCGAATTTGCGCGTGCCGGTCCAGGTGCAACAGGCGCAGCGTTGGCCCAGCCATTCCGCCCAAGCAGCTCAGTTCGCTGCGCGGGCGTGGGCTTTTTTGTTTACATTAGGCAGTCGGGCTACTTTAAGCAGTGTAGGTAGCCAGCTGCGTGGGGGAACAATGAAGCGTTTCTTGGTTTGCTTTGTCGAGTCTTCAAAATTCCCCCTATCCAGGATGGCAGCGACTGCTTTAAGTGTCCCAGCTCAGTGTTGGAGACATCTTTGAGCCAGAGAGATTGCAAAGGACATGTCTTTCTTTCCTTGGCGGTTCTCAGCCATCCGTTGAACTTCTGAGCTTTTTAGTTGGTTTAGTGGCGGTTTCCATTTCGTCCACTCAAAGTTATTCGCTTGTAGCCAGGGGATCAGAAAGCGGACTGTCGAGCTTCTCAACCCTGAAGTCCCGCTCAAGCTTTGCAGAATAGCTCAGCTCACCTGGCATCTGAGCGCCAGCGAGCCGATCTTCCAAACCTGACATTTTGTGGCTGACCTTTGGGTGTGCAGCCGAGTTTGAGGCCTGAATCCCCAGCCGTCACCTCAGGTTCTTTGGGTTTTGTGGTTGGGTTTCCATTTAGCCTACTAAAAGTTACCTGATTTAACAGGGGACCTGAGGATAGCCCAAAGTTTCTGCAATGCCGTTTGAGCATTGCCGGATTGCAGGTTGAGAGCTGCTCGGCTCACGCGCAGCGAACTGCAATCGAAGCATCATGCAACCACGGCGCAGCCTGAGCCGGCAGAATTCAAGGGCTCCCCCCCCCCCCACACTTGCGCTGCATCCCCAGCCCTTGAACTTGCGGATAGAGACCTTCCCTTCCCCTAGTCAAGAGGCGGTCATCGGGAAGACCTTCGAGCGGTATCTGCGGTACAAGCACTTCCCACAACCAAGCATGATTTGATTCCCCAGTAAACAGACGTTATGGTTTCAACCATGTTTTCTTGGGCGCAAACGGATTTCGCAGCCATCCACAGCCCTGAAAAAAGCCCAACCAGGAGCGGGTCCCTGAGATAAACATGGAAGCGCTCCCAGAAGGCTGGCTCTGTAAATGGAGCCAAGTCTTCCAAAGGGGTTATCGCCTGAGCTTCCGTTTGCTTAAGGTCGTTTTTGTCCCGTGGTGTTAAACTGAATTTATCACTACAAGCCTTCCCTCCCGTAGCCACATGTCCTTTGGACGGAAGATACCGGGGCAAAGCACAACAACTTCGTACGAAGCTGCGCAAAAGCTTTGTCAGGTGCCGGGCGCCAAAATGGAGGGCAGCGGCCTGCCGGCACTGTGCCGCGCCGGGAAGACGCCCGGGCCCCCGAACAGTCCTCCGGATGGCGGAGGATGGCGGGCGGTTGGGGGGGGGGAGTTCGGGGGACATGGGGCTGGATTCTTGAATTCAGGTTGGGGAAGAATAATTGGAACAAAGTGGCGCAAGTACGTGTCCTTCTAGGTCGTCGGTTGAAAAGAGATGGCGCTGGATTCAGTGGGTTCTGATTTCAAGAAAGGTTTGAGATCGTTTGCGGCACACTGAATCAGGAGAGCAAAGAAGGTAGTGCATGGTCCTCATTGGAATGAAGCTAACTGCCGTGGTGGTAAGGGCATGCTTTGAACAAACGGAAAGCACATCTCCCATCCGCTGTTCAAGACGGGAAGCCAGAAACATAATGACATACTTAGTCAATTCGTGCAAAGCGCATGGATTTAGGAGTCCCTGACTCCAAGAGATGGCTGAGACGTCAGATACCCGGATCTCAATGGAAAAAGTTAAGCTCGGGATGAGGCAGAATCGTTTAATAGGATCAAGCACCCGCTTGCAGTACTGCAGGGTGGCAAGGGTATGCCGAGTAGCCTAGGCCTATGTCAAAAGTAAATCGCAAGCCACGGTTTTGTCAACGTGTACTACGACATTCACCGGGTCTTTTGCCAGACTTGCAGTAAACTGGAAAGTTTGCTTTGCTTGAATGCCATGTTTGGTTTCCATCACTGTTGTTGGCAAGTGTTTAGCTCTTTTGTTTTTGGTCTGTGCATGTTTAGTAGGCTGCACCAAATAGCCGGTGGTTTACCGTATTACCAAGGGGTAAGTTCTCACAATGACCTTTTGGGGGGGTGGTTTTCCTTCAAGCAGCACTCTAGACAGGGCCACTTTGAGGGTGTTGCTTGGACGCACGAGCTCTGGGTTGTAAGTTGGTATGGCACACTACCCTGCAACCACCAAGCCACCAATCTGGACACCAACTAGGGGGAAGCTGAATTGTCTTTCCAAGCGAAATTCTCACGCACGTCGGATCTCTGAGTCAGGTGGACTGTCACCTTTTTGTCTTCCTCGGCCGCGATGCCCAGCGATGTGGGTGCCAGCGGGGTAAAGGATTTTATATGTTTGCTAAATATGACCCATCAACTCAAGAAGTAGGAAGTGAGTGAGGCAACATCAGAAAATAAGCCATTTCGGGAGAACCTAGATGTAGCCCTGTGGGATGTCAGCCAAAGGTTAATCTTAATGTCCAACACGCTCCTTTTGGTTTCCCTTTCACAGAAGGGTGTGAGTGCCAAATGTTTGCTCCACCCTGATTACACCGTTGGGAAATGGCCTCAAAAGCCCGATGTAAGAAGGCAATACTTGGAAATGACGCCTGCATGGGTTGCAGTGTCCTAGTGGGCCCCAGTTGGTGCAACACGTGGGTCGCGCGGCAAAAAAAAATAGAAAAAAAAAACAAGAAAAAATGTTGTTTGCACTTGCAGTTGCCGCTTTGAGCAGAATCCAGGGTTGCTCCAAAGCCAGCAATGACCAATCCACTCTTGGTCAGCAAGTCGGTAACAGGTCCTTCGTCGGTCCTAATTTCTACCCCTGAGTCAGGACTGGAATAGCCTGGAAAGGCCTTTCATTTGAATAGCACCATTTGTGCAAAGGAAGGTCGGCCACCATTTTCCAACCAGATGCCTCGCACGCTAATCTTCAGTCGCATGTGGACGAAAATGCAGCGGCGTGTCAACAACAAAAAAGCGGGTCATGTTCGGAAGCATCCCCGAGCGTGATTGGAAGGACCTCGGCCTCAGGCGTTCTTGATTTTCTAAGAACTCGGTGGTGTCTATGACTTCGGCCTACTTTATGGCGAGCTCACCGATTCGGCAGAACGAGCGAAGGCCATGATAAAGGTCCTTTACTCGGAGATCCTGTAATTCAGCTTTTGGAATCATAGTAAAATGTGCAGATGACTTGTTTACCCAGGCATTTATCTTTGTCCCAAAAATGGGGGCGGGGTGATGGTAAAATGAACTGCCAGTGGGAACTTGCATTCTCGGTGACAAGG